TGTACTAAGTCATCTTCAAACGTCTGATGGGGTTTTATGAGGGGCTTTTATTTCATGTCAGAAATACACTCGGAGGGCTTGACATAATTCTACCGAGGGGCGACCGCGATTAGAAAAATTAACCCATTCTTTATTTCAATTGTATTTCTATAATTTTTAGATGTTGGTCGGACCCGGACTCGAACGCTGACTTTCCGAATGCCAGTATGCAATTCTAACCACTCGGCCAACATTGCATTCACGTTCCTAAAAACCCCAAAATCCGAACAAGGAAATGCGCTTACAACCCTTTGATAAGTGTTGTTTCAATGAATTATATTTTGTAAAGAAGAAACCCGTTAATTTTGCTAGGTCACCATACGGACGTCTCTGTTGTTTTGGAGTTAAACTCCGACGAGGCGTAATAGATCCGCTAGTAATATATATTTTGCCTCTTTATAATTCTAAGAAATATTGATATATAAAAAATAGTCTTATTAGTTTTTCTTCAATTTAATTTCGGTTTAAATAGATTTACTTTTACCATATCAAATTAATGCGATAAACTTTTCAAACCAACGTTCACCTGTGAGGCATAATTATTACGACAGTGCGTATACGTAACCTAAACAATTTTAGTTAAAAAATAAAGACAAGAAAAGTTTTAGAATGAATTACCCTGCATCACGATGGGCGCAGCGAATGCATGAAAATATTCACAAAACAAAAGCAAATTAAACTATTTTCTGTAGTCATAAAAGGAATGTTTTTTTTTCATTAAGAGAAAAAATGTCCTGCATACCAAAAACCAACTGGGCCAATTATGTATGCCCTTATAAATATATGCACATATGTGTATATGTGTAAGCATATTTACAAGCAAATAGTGCCATACAATTATCTGCAATGATGACAGGCAATCATGTGAATTCAAGTCTTTATAATTCGAAAATCTGTGGCACAGCCCAAGCGCCGCACACCACCGCTGCCATCCATACGCGCCGCACCGACGTAAATAGTTCGGCAATGTGGCATTGGTGGCTACTCAAATGTGGCCACTCGATTTTGTCCTCCGTCGCTGTGTGGCCTTTGTCAATGTGATAACTTAACGCCGGGTATTAAATATGTGGCTTTTGGGATGTTCGTGTTGTTATTGTTGTTGTTGTTGGAAATGAAAATGACCCACATTAAGAAATGGTAAGAACGTGTGACGTATGCTTACATTTAGCATATATGATACAAACATGCATTTTCTGTATTTTTACATAAATATATACTCGTATTTCTACATATTAAATCCTCAACCCTCAGTTCGGGGCATGTGGAAGGAGTAAGATGCTCTGTCATCAACCAATGACAGCACAAATATGTTCGTACAAATACATGAAGGTACATATGTAAGATGATTTTTCTTCTTTTTTTTTGTTACTTTTGAATGAGCAATTCGTTTGTACTTTTTTTCATTTTCTACAGCAAATTTAATCTTACATGTCGTTGACACATTTTACGCTGCCCCAACTGCCTGCCTGCTAGTCTGCTTGCCTGTACCGTACTATTACTTTGTGTGGTTAGTGGTAGTGTACAGTTAGTTGATAGCAAGCAAATGCTATTTGTAGTATATATGTGCTGATGAGCGTGGATTTATTTGCTTACCTGAAAGAAATGGAAAAAGGGAGACAAAGAAAACGGCATATGTTAAAAGTGTAGGATAAAAAGGCATTCGAATAAAGTGTGTAAACAACATACAATGTTATGAACTAAACTATTCTCGCACGGAGCGGGCACGTATCACGTATACCACGTACCAATAATAAACGCGTAGAAATCTGAAAACCAACACGAAAGGATTTACATGGGTATGACTATATGTATATTTACATTTACATCTGCAACATATTAAGGTGTTTCTTACCATAGGTAGCTGGTCTTTAAAGACATTTACGACCGAAACGACTTTTAGACATTGTTTCATGCAAAATTAGTTAGGTTACGTATACGCATTGGCGCACTAAGAGCGAATTTATTAAAAAAAAAAACACTGTCTCAAATAAAATCGACTTAAACACGAGCTAATTTTCACAATAAATAAAAGCTTTGGGCAAAAGAGGATAAAGAGAAGATATTTTCTAACTAAAATCCACAAAGGGTGCTCGTACTGGACGAAGCGGCTTGAAGTATTACCCCTGCAGAGGGCATGAATTGTGTCATTTCATTTCTTTGAAATAAGAATAAATTAATACATTTTTAAGAGAGATTGACGTTATAATTTCAGTATTTGAAATATATGTTTTTTCTCTTCCGAAACTTCTTCAATATTCAGAAAACTTATATTTGAATGAAATGACTCTTTTCAGCTAATAACTTCTCCATTAGGTGGCGCTGTAGTCGATGTGGCACTTTTGTTGACAAACAATCAAATTAAATAACGCTCTTTGCGAAAAACTCGAGTCCACTAGGTGTCGCTGAAGTCAAGATATGTGCAAAAATATTTTTCAATGTTCTGAAAGCGTAGTTTTATGTTCCCTTCAACAGCGCATTGAAATTATTATAAATCATAATAAAAATGGTGAAGACCTAGTAGAGACGGTTCGTAAAACTAAATTATTTTTCGGTCGCCGAGATGCACCTCGTGGTCCACCATACAGAAATCGTTGGAAAAAATTGAGCTGTTGGGACTCGTTAGTGATAAATGTGTATGAAGAATGAAACACGTGCGTGTCGCTTAGGAATGACTGAGTATTATGGAAAACTCATGTTTTTCATTCCTCTTCCTCATTACAATGCATTTTGCAAAAAGACTCGAGTCTTAAAGCTTATAAAGTTCAGTTAACGCAAGAACACAATCCGGCAGATCACAAAGGATGGTGTGTCTTTGCTAATTGAGTATTTGAAATGCATGAAAATAATACGAGATTTCATCGAAAATTCATTCTCACTGAAGGGAAAAGTTTTCGTGTTATCTCTCAAAGAGGTGATCGCATTGGCCACCGAGATCTTGTAAATTAACACCTTGCGACTTTCTCCTTTGGTACCAAGTGAAACAGGTCAACATCGATTCAAGACCTCAAGGATGGAATTCGTAAAGCTATTGAGCGCATACAGAAGGCACTTTGCAATTTGCTTATAGAAAATTTCATAAAAAAGGATACAGTCCTGTACCCCTAACCGTTGGCTGTTATTGTTTTCCATTATTAATGGCATATCTTCCCCTTTACATTGAAATAATTACCCGATTTTCTTCTCTACCTTTATCTCAAAATATTTCATTTGTCTATGAAGTGCGAAATAAAACCTTTTGTAGGAAAACCGTGAATTAAGTTTTAAGCTAAACATTTCCCTTTCAGGTGGCGCTGTGGGCTTAACAGATTTTTATTTTATTTTTTTAGGCAAAATAATTAAAATTAATAACTTTCAAAATTTTATTATTTCATATTTTTTCTTGCATACGAAGTATCGAAAATTATTCAACAGGCGCTAGGGGGTGCTGAAGTCGAGCACAGATTTTATGTTTAAATGTTTGATACAAACAAGTTCAATTAATAATGCATAGAAGAGCCTTTATTGAAAATTAAGTTAGATGACTTTAGAGTCAAGCTACCAATATTTCGATATTTTTCATTCGATTTATTAGATATTTGAAAGAAACGAGTATATGGTATATAAGTAAAAAAAAATCGTTTCTGTGTTTAAAAATTTACCCGATAGGTGGCGCTCTGCGGAAAATTCAAATATATTTATTGCTTCTTTTCATACTTTGCAATGAAAAATACCCAGGTGAAAATTAACTAAAATTGGAATCAATTTGTTTCACATTCAGACATATTATGTAGCTGGAAATGTTTGTTCATATTTATTTATCGAAAATTTCAAATTACTGAACAAATACGCCGTCACTTGAAATAAAGAGCTGTTGATGTTAAAATAACATTTTATACAATTCTTCTAAACAGTAAATAAAAATTTCTCTGACACATTCCTAATAATTTAATATACTCATACATATACATATAGACATACATATTTATTTGGCGTTACACCTAAGAAGGCATACAACCCGCATACATGGCATGTCGCCTGTGACATGTGGGCGATATTAGAATTTTCAGATTGTTGTTGTTGTTGTTGTTGACGCTGTTGGTGTTGGTACGTGGTATACACAATGGCATTTGATATATTACATTTGGTTTATGATGGTTAAGTGGTTAAAAGGTGATGGCAAGAATCTGCTTTTCTCACATATTTAAGGGCGAAACACACACAAAATATAAGAGTAAAAAATGAAATAATATATTTGTATGTAGCAGTAACGGTATTTGCCTGCCGACATACAGCAGCGATTGGATTTGGATTCTTTGTTTCACTGTTTTTGCTGACGAATTTTCTCGGCTGTATGCATGTATGTATATAGTATTTATTTGACTACTAAACAAGCTTAACCGAATGCAACACAAGTGTTTAATTTAACATATTTACACATTTCAGAAATGTCAGAAACATCACAAAAACCTTTGTATTTATGTAAATAACTAAATTCATGCGTGCATGTGTGTGCCAGCTTTTGCTTATGTATGTGTATGTGTGTGTGTATTTTGAATACTGTATATTTTATACAGATATAATAATCTGAATATGTTTGTGGTATTGTGTGTATATGTGTGTGCTTGCGGTTACCTACACTCAAAGCCGCACTCATACATATAAATCACATAAATCACACGAAAACACGCAAGCCACCGACACAATTTCTTTGACGTCTGGATTTCGGTTTCGTCTTCTCCCTGTAACCGCCATTTTATCACTCAAATATCACTTAAGGTAATCAAACGTTCATGCACCATCACACACACACAGATATATGCGTTTACAGGCATTACACAGACTTTTGTTTAACACAAGTCCTAGCAATTTACTTTGGAGTTATTGTATTTAATAAGTAAATATGTCTGCGTATGTGTTTGTATATAGTATATATGTATATCACTTAAGTACAACAACCAAGCTTTAGTTTAGCATTAAATTACCTGATGTCCAGAGCATATCGAACCGTTGGGCGCACGCACTCGAAATGGACTATGTATTGGGCATGATGTACGCGGTCCCCAACGTGAGGCGCCACTCGGTCCCTGTTGCATTGTATGGATCGAATTAAAGCTTGTTGAACCGCAAGGATTGAATAGTGGTGGCGGCGGCACTGGTGGTGCTGGTATTGGCGGTCCAATACTTAGGCTACTTAAACCGCTCAAACTGCGACAGTGACTGGGGCCGCCTGAGATGATCGTATCACAACCGTAGAGACCACCGCCGCCGCCGCCGCCGCCACCGCCTACACTCAAACCGCCGAGCGAGATGTGTGAGCCGAGTAAACTGCTGCTGCTGTGCAAGGGATTGCGTAGATCGCCACCGATGCTGCCGAGGCCACCGATGGCGCCGACGCCGCTGCCAGACATCATCGATTGTTGTGGCGGTTGTGGTGGTGGTGGCACACCCATTGGCATGCCACCGATGCCAGTTCCATGATGATGGCACATCGTGTTGCTGCTGCTGCAATAACAGCCGCCAATGCCAATTCCGCTGTGATTGCCACCGCCGCCGCCACTGCCGCTGCTGCAGCCACCGCCACCGCACGATGTTTGATGTCCTGCTGCAGCTGCAGCCGCAGCTGCTGCCGTTGATGAGCATTGGCTACAAAGGCCACCAACGCCTCCGACTCCGCCGCCGCCGCCACCACTGCTGCCGCCGCCGACGATTCCACTACTAACACCGCTGCTCGAGCCACTTAAACCCGAAGACGCTCCAACACCAAGTACACTACCGCTGCTATTCACTGCGTGTGGCGTATCAACGCTGCTGCTGCCGCAGTAGTGATCCACGGCAAAACTATCTTGGCTACCAGAGCATTGTAGTCTGTGCGGTGGCGGTGGAGATGACTGACGTGAATAAATGTTTATTTACTAATACCTAACGGTAAACCTCTCCTTCTTCTCAGGATCGATGCTCGCATAAGCACACACACTCAGACCAGCTCCAAGCACACACGACGCTGACTTTGAGGTCACGTAGTCACGAATTCAAAGTCTTTGCGATGTCACAACAGCCGTTTCCACTTCACTGCACCGTCACCGTAACTGCCGTTGACTGCTCTCACTGCACGTTCGTTGTAATCAACGCCAAACCTTCGATCCGTATCCGTATCCGAGTAGCTGTCAACTCGACTATCTACTAAACGCTTCTATTCCCTGCCGCCTTGGCACTTGCCACTATTGTCTGGCTGCAGTTAGCTTCGCGCGTTGAACAATCAATGAGAGCCGCAGATCGAAGTGCTCCTGTTGCTATTGCTGCGGCGTAAGCTGTTGCTTGAGGGCGGTTACTACACTGTTGCTCCGTACAGGCGTTGTTGTACACGTCAACGTCATCACCAATGGATTAGAGTAATCCGCTTTTGGTTTTCGGTCTTGTTTTTATGCGCCTTTAGCTGTTTTTTCCGAGGTTCAGCACTCAATTTCGCAAACGACGCGAGTTGACTTTTCCACGCTGGAACTTAAACTTCGCTTGCTGACTATGTGTGCTGTCAGTTCCGGCTTTGCGGTTGTCCTCGTTGTGTCGCAGTCGTTCTTTTACTCAGTCAGCCGATTGTGTATTCTTACTAGTAGTTCGCTACTAATCTTAACGTATGCGTGCGTGTGTGTGTGTGTGTGTGTGTGTGTGTGTGTTTACGAGGCGTATTTGCTATGTAGGTTTGTATAAATTTATTTATATTTTTTTTTATATTTCTTGCTTCTTTTTGCTTCTACACTTTTTTGTTATCTTATATGTGTCTCTGTATGTACTTATGCATGTAGGTATATATATATTTATATATATATATATATATATATATGTATTAGTCAATAACAACAATAACTACGCCTAATAATACAACAATTTAAAGGAGCACTATTGGTTCCGAACGGAAAAAAATAACGAATGAACGGCATTCATGAATACGAATGAATGAACTTCATCTTCAGCTGAACTCTTCTCATCTCATATCATCTCATCAACACAAACCGAAAAGCGAGTATTGGGTTAAACGTACGTATGTATGTACATATATACTTTGGCTTTGACACGCAGCTGCTTTTTATGCTTGTACAAGTATCCTTTATAGGAATCGTTTGCTTCTTCGCTTCTGGTTATAACTTTGTGAAATGTGTGTTATTTGGTTAATTTTACGAGATGCGTGTTGCTTGCATTTTTTTTTTTTTTTTTGCTTTATCACTGTACTCGTACATATGTACATACTACAAACTTATTATACTTATTGTATGTGTTTTGTTGTTGGTTGTTTGTTGGATTTAGTTTTAGTAATTGATATTGGTTTTGTGCGCTACTTTGTTTGGGTTTTTTATTGAATACTTTATAAATTTCCTATTTAAATTTATTTCTTTAGTTTTGTTATGATTTTTATTTTTATTCGCATCACATGTTCGCATTAGAAATAGTTTTTTTTTCTTTATTTAGTTTTAACAGTTTATTTAGTTTTCTTTTTTTTTTGTTTTTTTTTTTTTTTAATTTATTTTAATTATTTATTTTTTCATATAAATAAATCTTTTTTAAGCATGCGTGTTCTGTAAGAAATGCAAGAACGAAAATTAAATTAGTCCTTTTAGAAGACTTTATTTTTACAGAATTTGGCAGTGTCGCAACTAAGAAGCAAATAAAAGAATATTTAGTTAATTTTTCGATGAAATTAAGCATTTTTAGGCAATACTAAAAATAATAAAAAATTTAAATTTTAGAAAATTTAACTATTTAAGCGTAAACAGGAGCAAACAGTAAAGCGAAGGGAAAATTGTTGTGGAATAAAGCAGGTAACTATTTGCGCTACACTTTATGTATGCATATAATGAAAAGTAAAAATAAGTTGCTGTTAGAAAAAAAATTTTAATTTGATTAAAAAAAAACTATTCCTTTACAATTTTCAAAAAATAAAAACGAAACAAAATAAAACTAAAAATGAATTATAACAACAGTAAACCATTTGCTTACTTGAAATCTGTACAAACCGCTTGAGCTGTAGTTTAGACTTGTGCTTGCGTCAGATATGCGACAGCCAACAGTGCGTATGAGTAACAATTTTAGTACTGATAAACAACTGAGTATCAAAGTAGTGTGTTTTCCATTCCTTAGACTTTATTAAAACAGTACTTAATTTGACTTTTTATTCGCTAAAATTTCTAAAAAAAAAAATGATAATGAACAATAAATTGTTTTTCACCATTTATTTATGCATATCCCTCTTATTGTTGTGTTTACCAATAAATTGAGGCCCCGACGGTTTACTCTAAGCAACGTTTTTTTTAGATTATATATATATATATAATATTAGAAATACACTCGGAGGGTTGACATTCCCTGTATCACATCTATTTGAAAAATTATGTTTGTCTAGTCCATGTCCTTCCGAAAACCGCACTAACCGCTAACCACGTATATTGCGTTTACGCATGCAGTTGGCAAATTACGCACGAAATCCGGGCGTACTAACTCGCTTTCTAGAAAACTTATGATTTGATTTTCGCTTATCATCGGACAAAACTAGTCAATTGGTATTCAGAAGAACAGCCATCAACATCAACTCGACACCGTTCGCAATTCTACATGAAGACTTACGAAGTCATATTTAAGAACTAAAACCTCATGGGCATCCGAAGCGATTTCGCTTCGGTAAATTCCAAAAAAAAAATCATTCTTTCCGATGAAACTCATTTTCACAGCAGCGGCTACGTTAACGAGCAAAACTACTGTATTTGAGACTCGAAAACTGAACATCCAACTATGACAAGGACTACGCATACTAAAGGAATGACTGTTTGTTGTAGAGCGGCATGTGGACCAGCGGCATTATTCCGCCCATTTTCTTTCGAAAAAGAAGAAGGCCCGACAGTAGTTGAGATTGACAAGGATCTGTATTTTCAACTGTCACATGCCACACAGCCGCCAACATTACCAGGACAAATCTTTTGTACACTGTACAGAAAAATCACATAATTAATGGAAACGGCGATGCCAACTGGACTTCGACTCCGTTGGAGTGTTTTCTATGTGTCCATCCAGAGACTATTCACGACTTGAAACACGAGATGGAAGTAAACATTACAGTCAAAGAGGTTCAGAAAAATCGAAACGCGCAGAACAGAATAGAATGGGCGATAATGAAACATATAGAAGCGTATCAAAAAAGGCCAAATTAATGAAAAATGGCCGTCATGAATTTTTGAACAATATTAAAAATTTAGTTTAAAACATAGAAAATATTTAACTTTTAATTTTGTATTATTTTTGATATTTTCAATTTAAAACTTGTCAATGAAAATATTCGTAAGTACGTCGCTGCGTATACGTAAAAAACTTGTAGTTTACCATTATATAATTTATTTCGTAGCGTTTTATACAAAAAAAAATGTTAAGCGATGTCTTCTTAGATATAAAAGTAAAACTAAGCTGCGTGGAAAAGAAATGCTAACGAACATAGGGTGCTACATTGAGCGTATACGAGATATCATAATTTGGAGCGAACATGTGCGATGCCAAGAAAGGTGACTGAAAGTTCCCCTGTTACGTTGATGGTTTCCAAGCATTGTCTCTTTGATAGTGATTTTTGCTATTATTTTTATGTGCTTTCCAGGAAAACTTGGAAGATTCCTATAATATTTAGAAAAAATGCCATCAGAGAACCAATTCACTGCTAATCTGTTGCTGATGCAAAAACAAATTTCACAAGGAAGAAAAAATTTAAAAGTGACTTGATTCATTTATTTAAGTAACGAATATATAATATAGTATATTATAATGCACATTTGAAAATATTGACAATCAAAGTAGAAACAGGCATATGTATATGTAAGAAAGTTTCAAAATTGTTTAGGTCCGTTTGCTAATAACATTAGCAAAGAAAGAATAGCGAAATGTTTTTTTGATGATAAAATAAATTACTGCAACTATAACTGTTTTTTTTTTTTCATTCAAAATATTTTCTTTTACTATAGCAAGCTAAAGCAGAAAAAAATATGCTTTGAAAATTATACAAAAAAATATTTCTTTCCTCAAAAAAAAACTTTCGAGTAAAAGATCATACATATATTTGTTATGTATACTAAGCACATTTAATTCATGAAATCAATTACACGAATAATTAAATAATTTCCGCTAATCAAACATATTCTTCTTACACATTAATCAAATGGTGTAATTTCTTTTACTTTACCCTCGCAGTCGAACATAAAAAAAAAGGAAATTTTCTTTGCAAATGCCTAAATTGTTATATTAACATTTCAAGGTATTCATGTACACACTTTCATACGAGTATGTCTGTCATTCATTAATGGCATAAGTAGAAAAATGTCTGCAAATTCATACATCATTTCCGACGCATTTCTCTTATTTGCAAAATGTAACAGCAAATTGTTTGCCATTTGAAGCACATCCATCATATTAAGGTGAAAAGCAAAACAAAAAAAATAAAAGAAATATAAAAAAATAATAAATAACCGAAACGTAATAATAACGCCACGAGTGAAAATCGAAATAGAAATGTTATCAATGACAGAAAGTTTTCAGACAGCTTCAACTGTTACATAAATATATATACACACATATGCTACATATATATAGCTTGAAATATGTGTGTTACTGTGCATGTAAATGAATTACACCTTCGCAACTTAAGTGCAATCAATTATTCATTATTTATAAAGCATATATGTACGCATGTATGTAGGCGTTCGCATATGTCAAAGGGGGAAAAAATTCATATACATACATATGAAAAACACTTGGCGTTCTTTTTGTGTGAGTATGTATGGCGTTGATGTTATCAAATTCGAATTTGCGATTAGCTCATTTTTTTTTTTTTTTTTTTTTGTTTTAAATCAGGTTATTTTACTTAAACTTTTGCCTCAATCTTCCCTTTTGGGCTTTCCTCATCTGGAAGTTGTATGCACATATGTACTATTAGTATATTTTCGCTACCGTTAGTAGCTACTCTTTAATGCCTTTTGACTTTTCTACTTCTCTTTCATTTGTTAAGGATTTTCTAATTGAAATTTCATGTTTTTACTATCTTTTGGCGCTGCATTTGTTGTTGCTTTCTTGGAAAACTATTTGTTGTTTCCTGTACGGATTTCGTTGCTTAAGTTTTGTACATTTTCCTTGTTCCGTTTTCCTTTTTTGGGAAAATTTCTTCATTCATAACTATTCCAAAAAGTTATAACAAGTTTTCAACTAAATGCATATATACGGATGTATGTTTCTTATATGTAGATACATACATTTTTCGCATACACCTTCGATAGGTTCATGCCTGCTGGTTAAGCATATTTTGCACATGCATGCTGTATTACACATATTTTTATTTTCTTATTAAAAAAAATTTCAGATATATGTATGTATGACTATTTTCTAAAATTCCTTTTCTTGCCCTTAAAAAATCATATTAAGGCATTTTCAGGCCTTTTAGCATTGTCACCCTTGGCGAATTCAAGCTAAATATTATGCCATCGTATCATTTTTCATGCAATCATAAAAAACTACTTATGCAAATATTAAGATATCAACACAAAGGCGAAATTTACATTTTATAGCGTTGCGGAATTTGCGCGCCGGAAAAATGGCAATATTTCTTACTACCTTTTGCACACCTTCCAGGGAATGCTTTAGCGAGTATTTATGGTAAACACATTTTATTTGACGTGAAAAATGCCTAAGGGTGTCATCTTTAACAGGGAGATGTTGTCGTATCTTTTGAATTGAGCATGTGGAAAAACATATTGAGTGCAAAAAGCTTTAAAGATAGCTCCATTTCTTGTTTTTTTTTTTTGATCTAAAGCTACGGTTAATGCTGCAAAAATGCAGCTTCAATTGACCGCTTTAGTCATGTTATTTAAAATGTCCATATTACGATTAAAGTTTCGTACAAACAAACAAATTTAACAAATCTTAAGTTTTTAAAAAATTTAATAAATCATTTCAGCATCACAAGATAAAAGCGTTAACAATTTTTTAGAAAACTGTAATCTCTTAAATTATTTAAATTAAATAATTTCATTAATTTTACCTCTTTTTAATCAGTTTTTATTTAATTCTCAAATCTTATTAACATTTCCATTTTTTATTTTCATTTTATCTTAATTTAATTTCATTTAATTTATTTTTACTTTAATTTATTTCATTTTTTCATTTTCATCGCGTTAATTTTTATTTTTATTTTCAGTCTTAATTTTTTGTTATTTTAATTAACTTATTTTATTTAATAATCTAGTTTTTTTAAACTATCTTTTCTTAATTATATATTTTTCATTAATTTCCTTATCTTTTATTTCCTCTTTATTAATTTAAGTTTCAGTATTATTTTATTTGATATTACTTGATATTAATCGATATTTTATTTTATTTCATATTATTAAATTATATTTTATGTCATTTCATTTTATTAGTTTAATTATATTCTATTTTTTTAGCAATATCTTCATTTATTTTGTTTTATTTTTTTTATTTTATTTTATTTTATTTTATTTTATTTTATTTTATTTTATTTTATTTTATTTTATTTTATTTTATTTTTTCATTTTTCTTTTACGTGTTGCAGGCCGCGGTGGCCGAGTGGTTAGCGTTGCGTACTGCGATTCGGAAGGCTGGGGCTCAAATCCCCGTGCGACCAACATCCAAAAGTTACAGAAAATTAATTTTAATAAAAAATAAGCTAAATTTTCTAATTGCGGTCGCCCCTCGGCAGGGAATGTCAACCCCTCCGAGTGTATTTCTGACATGAAATAAAGCTCTTCATAAAAAAAACCATCAGCCGTTCGGGGCGGCTTAATATAAAGTGTAGGTCCCTCCATTTGATGGAAAAACATCAAGACGCAAAACCACAAATTGGAGAAGGAACTCGGCCGAAAATCGCTTCAGCTGTTACAAAACACCAATTATATATATATATATTTTTTTTTTTATTTATTTATTTATTTATATATTTATTAATAAATTAATTTATTTATTATTTATTTTTATATCTATTTATAGGATTTTTTTTTAATCTTTTTAAATATTATTATACCATATTTTAGGATAAAGAAGGCCAAATTACGTCTAAGCCAACAGAATTTATTTCCTCAACTCAGCCTTCTCGGGGCAGAGACCGCCAAGACCTCCTGGTGTAACTCCCACGAAATGTATAACTTAAAGTTAAATTAAAAACCAATGCAAGAAGTGTATTCAGATTATTAGAGATTGTATTTTAATGCAGATATAAAAGCTTTTGCTCTTATTTTATACACAACATTCCCTTCTCCATGAAATTTTCCGGAACTCGACACGTGAATGTGTAGAAGGATAATAAGATATATATAAGGAGGGTAAAATTTTACAAGTATTAAGCTAAAAGCAAACCACAACACGCAGAATAGCTCACAAGAAAAGGATTCTTAAAAATAAAACGCCCACAACTTCAAAGAAAAATAAGCACTCAGCTGCTCATTGACTCCATGTCAAAGTAATTTTTTGCGTATAAAAACCTGAAGCCTTTCATTAATGCCAGGAAGCATATTTTTTAAACTTTTTAATTTAAAAACATGCACCTAAGCGAACGTACGAGCTAACGAACAAACAAACAAGCGAGCGACTAAGCGAGTGAAAACGTGAAAGCGCAAATAACAATGCGCTATGTATGAAGATAAGAAACTTTATAATTCTCAATTAATTCAACATCTTTCACACGCTACTTTTTCTAACTGCGTCTACCTACCGTAAGCTGAGCACAAACATTTGCAGGAAGTTGAAAATTTCTTCTTAATTAAATTGGTATTTCCGATTAATCAACTGCTGTGCGGAAAGTTTCCCCAGCTACCACACTGCAGACACTCGGAACGAGTACGATGCTTAGCGACGAGTAACGGCGAGGCGAAACTACAACAGCAATGACAGAAGAAACAGCATGAATTGCTACTAATAGCAGCAGCCATCACACTGGAGAGGGAAGTGAAAATGCTAAAATAAAAATAAATACAAATGAAGAAAGTAGCGAATAAAATGCGAAGTACGAATTAAAATGGGCTAAAGTAAATATATGTATGTGTATTTACTAAAATTATATGGATGGTATGATGGGAGTATTGCGGCCAGACTGGGCTGGTTGTGCGCCTGCAAATATGGCTCTTAGTACCATGTCAGTTGTTACAAATAAAAACCGCAAAGGAAAATTTAATTAAATTAAACGAATGAACGAGTAAGAAGCCAAACAGCAAACGAAATGCGACGCAAGTGGCTGACTAACAGTCTAGAACGGCGGTCCTTGGCTGCTTGGCAGGCTGTGCGTTGAGTGCGAAGTGTAGAGGAAGAGTGCTACCAAAAAAATGCGATTTTTTTCTTTCTTTTTTGTTAATTTACAAAATTCCTGTGGCATAATATAAAGGCATAACGAAGGAGAAATGCAAAATACAAGTGTAATAAAATTGAAAAAATATGAAATATTAAAAAAAAAAAATAATATTACAGCCAACTCAGCACCGAAATCAGAATTCAATACGCAAAGTGTGCGTTGCAACTGTCGCCAAAGCGCTATAGCTATTTCCTACAGCGGCTGAGGCCCACGACGAATGCCTACGCTAAACTACGCGGTATGCACTCATACATACTTACATACATACATACATACTTACAAGTAAATATAATGAAAACGAAAAGCGAAATCTAAGCCAAGAGTAACAACTGTAACGTAAGCAACAGCAACCATAATAAGAACAGCAACAAATAAAACTTTTATAGTTAAATGAACAAAAAAAAAAAAAAAAAAAATAACAGCAGAAAAAATAAAAGAGAAGATTTTACAAACGAAAAAAATGTTTTAAAAAAGTGGCAATGTCATACTTACTACAATATTGTCAGCATCTTCCTGGCTGTTTGGCTGACTGGCAGCCTGGCTGACTGCTGCTAGTGCCGGGCGGGCGATTCTTTGGGCTGTTGTTCGGGCAGTCGGTCGGACAGATGACGAGGTCGCTCAGTTTTGCAGGCTGCTGGTTTCTCTTCTTTGGCACTGACAACGTCTCCAGTTTTTCGAATCCTCTGCCGAGCCCGTTGCACCCTCAGAAACCGCACTCACACGCACTTCAACAAACACAATGTATGTGTTTGCTTCATTCACTGGATGTATTCGACTATGGAATGTCTTGTGTTATTGTGGCTGCCTCGCTCTATATCTCTATGCCTCTCTCTCTCTCTCTCTCTCTCTAGGAACGAGGATGGCGTGATGTTGTTGAATCCAAAATCAATAACAGATTTTTGGAGTGAGTGAGCAGCAACAGTAGCAGAACTCGAGCACAGCACTCAGCCAGAAATACACATAAACACATACACGCGTGCACTCACAACTCTCCTACTGTTGTGTACCCGACGCTACAGCACTACAGCACTACTGAGCGCGTTGATGTTGGACGCCAATGATGTTAGTTATTGCGGGTAGGTTGACGTTTGGGTTGAAGCCGTTTATACTGATACTGTTACTGAATCACTGAGTACGACGCAGTGAGGCTGATACTGAAGCCGTCGCTGTGGCTGAGGCAGGTGCTGAGCCACTAGGCTGATGCACAGGCACGAAGTGATGTAGAAAATGGAGTTTGTAGGTGTGTGGGTGTGCTTGTTTGTGTATGCGTTTGCGTTTGAAGGCTCCTGCAAGCTGTTATTTATGTGTGAGTTTGAGTGTGCGTGTGTGTGTGCGCGTCCGTACGTGCGTGTTGTGCACACTGATGCTACGCTTCTCTACGTTTACGCTGCTCTACCATCGAAGAGTAGACGACCATCAAGTCCAAGTCCAAACGCAGACGAAGACAAAGTTTTTTCTTTATTGTTTGTTGTACTAACGTTGTATTTCAAAGTTCAGTGTTTTTTTTTTTGTTTTTTATTTTTATTTTTTTATTATTGTTTGCTTTGCATATTTTTTATTTTTGGTTTGCTTTTGTATAAGTTCTTTATGCTTGTTGGCTTTCTTTATCGTCGTCTTCAGCCAGTACAGTTCAATTTCCTTTTTTCAATGCGCGTCGAGTGAAAAAGTTTAAGAGCCATTACAACAATTACAACAACAAGAGTAACCATTAAGCGTTTTTTCTACGACCCTCAAACATTATAACAGTTTTATTTCTTCTTTATGTGTGCGTGTGTGCATTTTTTGCAAATTTTTTCCTTGCCTGTGACTTGTTTTCAAATTTTCTAATTAAGTTGAGTAGGCAGTACAGAGGGATACAGAGGGAGAGAGGTGAAGAGAGAGGGAGAACGAGGTATGCTACTAGGAGCTTACTATGATAAATGGCAACAAAAACAAAAATCAAAATAAAAACAAAAACATACAGTATGGACGCGGAAATTGAAATTGCAAAGCAAACAAAAAGAAAAATGAATTTTCACGAAATTTTGGCGAGGCACCACAATGCCATATGCGTTCGTCATATGGGCTCCGCTGCGAGTGACTACAGAAATTTCAACTAAGTAACACAACGAACTATCATTACAAGCCGTTAGGCAAGAAATATGTGGCTCTAGGGAGCCCCCAAACAAATGTAACAACATTATGACAACAATTCCAAGCGAGCGGAGGCGTTTGGCAAAATGGGCAATGTTATCCAGCAAACAACAAACAACAAAAACGAAAAGCAAAGTGTGAAGAAATTTTGTATTCCCTTACGAGCAGTTCCGTTTTTCTAAAATTGTTTTAAAAGACCTAGAAAAAAACAGTATTTTTTAAGTTTATATTCAAAACTATTTCCAAAAATTCTCTAAAACCTTGAAAAATTTAAATTTTGCAAGTTGTTCTCATCACTCTGCTCTAGCTGTTCTCAGATTTTAAAGAATTCGTTCTGGTTTCCAACTCCCAATTTCGAAAATTGGTTCTGAAAGACTGGGAACATACCCAAGTTTTCATGGAACATTCTTCATCAATTGTTTGAATTTTTTTGGAAAATCTGTAAAAAAAAATTTCTAATTTTTTGAAAAACTTGATGAATATGTAATTCCGATTATTATTTGCCTCCCCAGCTAGATATTTTCTGTTTCAAAATAAAAAGAATTAAATTAAAAACATAATTCTGGTTATTTTTATATTTTTTAATTTAAGGATTTACCGTTCAAATTTTAATTATTGTTCTTGAATTATTATTTGCTATTTAAACCTTACCTTTACGCTCAATTTGTTTACAAAAATTCTATATTTTCGAAGGTTTTTCATTTTACTCAATTTAAATATAAGCAAAATCAAGTAATAAAACTGTGTAATTGTCTTAATATCAGAAAAAACAAAATATCAAAAAAAAAAAATTAAAAAAAAAAATAAAAATATGAAATAAACACAATTAAAATATATAAAAAAAATTAGAAAAAAGTTAAAAATATTGAAAAACAAACAATTAAAAAAATAAAAATAAAACAATTAAAAAGAAAAAAGAAAATAAAATAACTAAAAAAAGAAGTCTTAAAAAAATTAAGAAAAAAACTTCGATACTTTTCATAATAGAGAAATATATACATACATATTTTGGGAAAAAATATTCAACAATCATTCATTAGACTTCAAAAAAAAATGTATATGTATTTGGATATGTAATATAGCTTCCAGAATCGACTAACATGAGTGAAACGGCTTTAATTTAAATTTTCTTCTATCAAAAGAAATTGTCCAATAACGCAACAACATAATTCCGAATTCTTTAAAAGAAAAGTTGACGCTTTTCTCAAATATTGTATTATTTGTTGCTCGCCTTTTTTTATTATTATGCACAATGCAGTGAATATATTTTCGAAAAGCGTTTCTAAAAAAAATTCCATTCTATTGGGCTACAATTCTCAAGTCATAGAAATATCACCCAAATTCTTAATTAGATATTAAAAATATTTCGAAATTATTTGCAAATTCATTTCAAATCTAGGAGTTATTAATCCTTTTTAATAAATTTTCAAAAATTATTCAATATCATTTCTCAATTATGCACAAACGAGAATTTCTGCAATATCAATAAATACAGTGATATTTCTCAAATTTATGTCAATACTAATCTTCGGATGTTTTTAAACTTGGAAGAATTCGTATATATTTCAAAGGATACCAGGATAACTGGATAACAGTCAGCAAAATTTTGTAATTATTTTCATATATAAATATTGCAGTTATTGTTTTATTTTAAATTATTATGCAATATTATTTTATGATTATTAAATCAGAATTTTTCCCACGCCATGCCACAAAGATATTGTAATATTTCTCAAGTTTTCAAACTCTCTTTAAATATCTTTAAATAAATATTTCGGAGAACGATTTCGGGCGAATTCTTTTATTAGTTTTTAAATTTTATTTTTATTAATTAAATGGGAGATACCCATACGATTTCTACAAATCATAAGCCAGCTGATATCTAACATTTTTATATTGCTCAAATGAGTAACGAACTTCATATTTCGTTTGATATTTGAGCACGAACGATTGAGATCAACATTTTTCTCAAGTTTCGCTTTTTTAAAACTAAACTAAGTTTTTAGACGCTTTGAGCTGCCCTTGCACAATAAAGTCGGAATCAGGCAAAATTAAATACTCCATTAACTCCAATTTATGTGTCTAATGAGCGATGACTCTCCTGCACAGCGTCGATTGTGACAATAACGTGCATAAATGGCCTTTAAAAGCATTTTAGTAAGTGCATTCATACAAATGTACACGTACATATGTATGTATGAGCGAGTCACTCAGAACGGCCAAGGTGAGGGTGAAGCTGCTGCCAGTCATATGATGTGTATTTTTATTTCGCTTCATTATAACAAATATGCGAAATACAGCAATACATACACATGTATGTATGTACGCAGCCAAACGCGCCCTCACCTGCCATTGCCACGCGACTAAGCGTGGACGACTGAATGGCGATCACAAGCAACCCATTTAGAAAGAAGGCTGAATTGAAAACAAAAAAAAAAAAAAAAAAATAGCAAAAAATGTTTCAACAAACAACCAGGCAAGGAAACAGCGAAACAACCACCCTGGGGGTGCGTGCGCTTACAGCACTCGATTGTCCTATTCTTATTCATCATCAGCCAGCATTTTTTCGCTCCTCGTTATTATTTATTTTTATTTATTTATATAGAACATTTTTTACTTTGTTATTTCTCATTATTTTTTTTTCTATTTTTATTTTTATTTTTTCTATTCTTACGTACGCCTCCAATGAGAGACGCGTCTGCAGCCACCACTGCATTGCCTACTCGGCTCGCCCACTCGTCGCTCGTTAATAGATGATTGTTGCTTTTTAAAATTGCAAATTGCAAATAGTGGAATAAAAAGAGCACTTTTATTGTGTCTGTGTCTGTGTATATATATGTGTGTGTGTGCGTGACTATGCGCTGGCTATCATCAATACACATGCAATACAAAAACACACATACACACACACATTTATATAGAGATAATACAATAAAAACGATTAGAATGGCAATGGCAACTGGGAATATGGCAATATGTGCAAATCAAACGCAGAGTGGGCGCCGCAACACAAGCTGTATTGCAGCAGCGGGGTAAGTTGGCAAAAAGCAAGGTAAACTCAATATCTCAGAAAGGAGATAAAAGAAGAAATAAAACACCACACATACATAAATGTATGTTGCATGTGACCAAACAAGCCTGACGCTGACGCTGGCGAACGACAGACACACACTGCGTTGCGTGCGTACTGAGCTGTTTCAGAGAAGTCGCTGAAAAAACGCTTGATGGCAAAGAAAGTTTTCAACTTCGATTTAACACACAATTTTTAAAACAATTTTTTCTTCCACTTTTACCGCTATACCGTTAAAAGGAAGAGTAATTTAACATTTCAAAAAATTTGTACAATATTTTTACACATATTTTTAGTTACTTTTTATGCTATACCCTCGTTGCCTTTATGTATGCGTGTGTGCGTGTAGAAGTGTGAGGGTCAGTTAATTATTCACAGTTATTTTTATTGTCTGAATTTCTCGAGTTTCCATATTTTTTTGGAGACACTTTATATTTGTTTCTTCTTTTTTTCAGTTCATTTAAGCACCACTGAATCAATATATGTATGTGTGTATTTTAGGTATGCAAGTAGATCTTATGTATGTATGTTTACTTTGTATTCTTCTTAATTTTCTACTTTTCTCGCTTGGTGCCCGTTTTGCAGTATATGTAGTGACTAAGAACTGAGCTGAGCAGCAGTTATGTTGTGTTGTACCCTTTCCAGCCAAGGGCTCGCGTTCGACTGCCACAAATAGCGCCAGCAAGGTACACTGTTATAGACGTGAAAATCGCGCAGATCCAACGAAAGGATATCTATTACTCTAGAGCAAGCAACACATAGCGCAAAACAGCGCAGAGCAGCGCAGAGCAACGCAGCGCAGTGCAGCATCACAACAGCAAGGCAAAGCAATGCTGAAGAGAGCCCAACAAACACATATTGGCTGACTTAATAATTTTTGCTCGTACACAATTCGATTTTGTGACTGACTCAACGGCGCTCAGTGGCGCTCAATGGCGCTGGAGGAATTTTGTTGCTACTCAAAGCATGTAAGTTGCAGCGCGCGCTGAATGCAGCTTTGGAAAATCACATCATACGTCTGAGTCTAGCAAATATGTTGCAAATATTTCAAAGAGCTCTACACTCATACCAGCTGACGGCGTATACTAGTTTTCGAAGATCCCACTCCCGGCTCCACCGACCAACACAACACGTAACAGCTCAGTTCAGCTCATCTCAGCTCGACCCACACCACCAACAGCACATGCCGTCATTTATATCCATTAGCCACCTTACCAGCTTACCGGGTTGTCAACGTCGTATTTTACCTTTCAATTTAATGACCGCGCTGACGACGTCAACATGCACGTCGACGTCGACAACGACTTTGGCAGCAATCAATTTCCGGTACAGCTTTTAATGGCGCCAATAAGGCTGTATGTACAAGAGCGAGATGGCAATAGCGAAAGTATTCAAAAAAAAAAATCTTAGCCCCAAAGTGGTGGGTGGTGCGAGAGCGCAAGCAGCAATACACCATTCAGAGCGCGTGTCTCTTGGTTGTTGGATGATGTTTTTTCGTGAAGACTGCTCAATCAATGCACAGCATGCATGCTGAATCTGCAAACTATACGAGTCTATATGGAAAGCAAAAACAATATACCGAGATTTACAACAATAATAATATGCAAGCTTTTAAGGCCACTCACAAAAACACACTTTGGTCTCAGCTTCTGCGCATTGTCGTGGGAAGCTGAGAGCATCGTTCGGGTCGCAACAACTCAAACGGACTTTACTTCTCACACACATATACACCCTCTCACGTCGCTCACACGCTCGCTCTCGTTAACGCAACTTGTGCGTTCTTTTGTAATTGATGTTGGCAGATTAAGCGTACAACAGTCAAATGGAGGCATACAGTCATTATTGCCAGGACAACAACAACAACAATGACAACAACACACTTAAAACGCTTGCATACCTACGAGTTATGACAGCAAACGTGAAATAACATTAGAGCATTTGTAAGCAGTAAAGACGATGATTGTGCGTTCGCCTCTAACGAAGTCTTCCTCTGACGAGGAGCAGTACGTTAGCACGGCATGGCGTGCAATGACAAGCAGGCAGCAGCTTCGTCGCAGCATAAGTCAGAGGCTATAGAGAAGCATTAAGTAAGCACAATTACACAGAGAATCGGTAAACGACTTAACGGCTCAGATACTACAGCGGCGACCGTCGACCGTCGACCGAAGGACCCACCGACTAGCAAATCGTCTTACGGACTAGCCAACGACGCTCGATGTCAAACCGACAATCGCGCGAACTAAAAGATATATGTATGTAACTACATACCTACAAACAGACAGGCATACTGCATGTGAATACTTCAGAATGCCTCAACGCAAAGCTTAAATTTGAATATTTACAATATGTTTGTGGGTGCATGTGCATGTGCACATTCAGATATTCAGCAGCGTATTTATTACGCATACACATACATACATACATGACGCATTGCCATCTCCAACAGCGCAACGCAATGACAAATTGCAGGGATTGCATGCTGACATGTCTGCCCGCCTGTCAGGCAGGTGGGCCTGTCCGACCAGCCTAGCCGTCAACCAGTCAACCCGTCAGTCCTATAGTCCGTGTGCGATGTAGGCTCATAGCTTTTGCTTGTCCGCAGTTTGCCAAGTTGCACAGTGTTGAAAGTGCGGTTTTCGTAGGAAATAAATTTCTGTCAGCCCGAAAGTAGGCAAAGAAAGTTTTCTTACAAATAAATAGAAAAATAAAAGAAATGAAGCTTCTTTGAGAAATTTGACAAGCGAATAAATGGAAAATTCAAAGGCAATATTGGAATGACACATTTTTACTTTTGTAACTGCATTTATGCTTAGTAGCAGATTTGGAAACTCCTAATTTGGGCTTTAAAGTCGGTAAGGAACTTAAACGTTGGTCCATGGCGGGCACATCATTGTTATCAAACTCCAATTACATACATACTTATGTATCAAAATATAAATATCTCTGAGCTCAGAGTCCAAGGCCATACAGGCTGCCTCAATGTGAGAAGCTAAAATAGAGTTTGAGCTTGGAGTCTGTATATCTATACACACCTCTGCATTTGCTAATTGGACCAGTCAAAAATTTCCATAAGGAGGAATATTGAATAAAAATCTCTCACAAAATCGCATCCAATGAGAGCTTAAACATCCTTACTTCAGGAAAAGTAGAAGTTTCCTCCAGTTAACTGCCTTTATCAAATGTTCCATATACATGTGTGCTTAGTCCTCATGGGTAGAAAGGTTCTGGCTGCATTGTAGTAGAATAAAAGATTCGTGAGACTTTCATAAAAAAGAGGAGAACGTCCTGCATAGTTCTGGAACCTCACGCAGAGAGCCATTCCAGGGAGCTGTGCGGCCGACGATCTGGCTAAAAGCAAAAATGTTCTAACTTTGATCAGTCCTGCACGTTGACACACTCCTTCATAGCCAAAATGCCTGCCAAGATCGACCTTTACTAGTTCGCGGCATGAAGCCACATGCAAAGTAACCAGACAAATCGAATCATTGATCGAGGAGAACAGAACAAGCATCACAACCGATGTTATAACCGGGCTCACTGATGAATACTTATAGTAGAAGGATGTGTTATTTCCTTAACGATTTCTCCTGTAATTGCAGGGACATAAATGAGAAGGATTCAGTAGGGCACCACCTTTAAAACTACCCAGGCCTCAGTGCGCAGCCCGACATTGTTTCCGCGGAAATTTTTTATTTCGATGCGCTTCTTACTTACGTGAGAGGGATCTTTACTCAGGTTCAACATCAATCAAAATTCAGTATAATTTTTGCATTCGCCTCTTTCAAATGCGGTGTCAGCTTTCAATAGCTCTAAAAGCTAAATCAATAAGCTCTATGCAAAAGCTTTACTTAGATGAATTACGCAGGATGAGCACGAATTCTCGGTTGCAGTTCAAAAAAAGAAAAAAAGTTCTGCTTTCAATTCCGGTGATATTTATTTCATAGGGTCCTCAACAACTGCTTTCTCCAGATTGTATAAGGAAGTGTTTGACAGTGAGCGAGAAACGTGAATCTGCTCTGACATAACTGTTGACATTAATACCTTTGAAGTCGTATACAACTCTGTCTCTCATGGAATCAGCATTTACACGAACAAAGCAGGCATAGTCTTGCCAACAGGTTGAACTTCGGTCTGAGTAGAGAGTTGTAGAGTAAAGTGCTCGCTCGATGAACAAAGACTAAATTCTAAAAGTTCCTCGCCATCTCCGTTCAGCGATAGCAGTTTTCGAAAGAATTGCTTTGCGCATTGGTCACGGCGAATCACGTATAGGATGGAGGAAGACAGAGTCCTGCAGTCCATATTGGAAAGTTTAAGTGCATACAGATCTTGCAGCTAGATAGTGGTGCTCAAGATAGAGTAGGGAGAGAGTAAATATTAGACGTCAGACATCTCTGAATCATATGACGAAGAGTTGCTCGGTAATTTTATTTTTTTTTTTTTTTTGGATTTCAACCAACCCAAGCCTGCTATAAACAAATTCTTCTCGAAATTCACTTTCAAACAGTTTTTATAGCAATTTTTATCGGCTTTCACACCCACACTGCCCAACATTTTAACTCCTTTGCGTTTTGCCGATAGTAAATAGTAGATCCCTTTAAGTTCGTAGCTCACACTTGGTGGCTTTGTTTACAAATGCAAATGCTGAGTAACATAAAAGGGATGCAAGCAACTGCACAATTACTGGCACTTACATACATACATACATATGTACATTTGTATCTACACATAAACGAATGCATACGCCATACATATACAGCTCTAGGTACGTAGCTATGTAGTATATCTGATAACTGATATGTATCTATGTATAATATATTATGTGAAAAGCTAAATACCTTACTAAGAAGAAAGTTGTTGTTCTTGTAGTTGCTGCAGTATCTGTCATTGCCTATGCTAAAGCGCATCTGACTGATAGATAAACTCTTAGCTGACAGCAGGCTGACGGACTGGTTGACAAAACCAAGATACGAGCATACATTTAGGCGCACAAACATGCCCAAGTTGCCCGCTGGTTGGTGGTTAAGTGCATACACGAGGTGAATATGTACATAATGCATAAACATGCATGGTAACATATGCGCATAACGTAAGTGCATATGTATGTACACATATATAAACACAAGTACACATATATGTAAACACATACACATATATTCATGCCATTGGCATTTCTTAGAGCACAAAAATGAGTTTCTAAATCATGTCAGGCCAGCTCTACACATATATACACGACTGAGATACTCAGCATGGGATTTTGAACATATGTATATATATATATGTATGCACGAATACTATACACTATCGGTGGACAGTCGTGCTGAGCAGCTCACAATCTCTTTAACAAAATACGGGATATCTTTTGCGGTTGGTAAAAAGGATGTACCGCTCGCTACTTACAAACGCCTACTTAATATTGCAAACATACATA